TATTTTTAATTTTTATTTTTGAGATAAGGTTTTACTATGTAGCCCTGGATTGCCTGGATCTTGCAATATAGACCAGACTGGCCTTGAACCCAGAGATCCATCTGTCTCTGCCTCCTGAGTACTGGGATTAAAGGCATGCACCACCACACCTGGTCGATATCTAGCAATTTTTAAAAGATTTCCTTCTTTTATGTAGATATGAATGTTTTGCTTCCATGTGTTTGTGCACCAAATGCACATCCCGGTGCCTATGGAGGCCGAAAGAGGGCGTCAGGTCCTCTGGAACAGGAGTTAAGGATGGTTGTTAGCAGCCACCATGTGGGATCTGGGAATTGAAGTGAATCCTCTACCAGAGCAAGTGTGTGTGTGTGTGTGTGTGTGTGCATGTGAGTGTGCAAGTCTGTGAGTGAGCACAGAGAGGCCAGGCATGGATGTCTGGCGTCCTCGCTACAGCTCCCCTTTTGTCTTGTTGGCTTGAGCCTGCCCCTGTTCTTTTCTCTTAAACTGTAATAAAACTGCCTTTAAGCTTTCTTTTCAGTCACTTTTTAAATTATTTGATTAAGGAGATTAATAATTCAAAATTACAAGCCCCATTTCCTCTGGTAACCTGGTTAATGTAGGGCTCCCCAGAGTTTCCAGGAGTGCCCTCCCTTCCTAAGTGCTGGGATTATAGGCATACACCACCATACCTGGCTGGATTAGACCTGAAAAAACCCAGTTCTCTGAAAATTTCATACTTGTATACAAAGTATATTAGTTAAAACCACCTCCCACTCCCTCCAATTCCCCCAGGGTCATCCAACATATCTCCCTCCCATTTTTTTTTTAAAAATATAACACCGAGTCCAATGAGTACTGCCCATATGCAAATCAGTGTGGGGTTATACATTGAAGTGTGAGCAACTCTCACAAATGGCGGCCCTGACCCCCACCACCGGACAGTTGAAAAGGAGATGATTGTTACATTGACGTTAACCCATGCTGATTCTCACAAACTTTGTCATATTCTTTCCCGCTGAGGAAGTGGTAAGTGAAATCACCGAAGCAGCAGAATTGATACGAAGTCTGAGAATTGCAACATACGAAGTGAAAAGAGAAAAGCACAGTGCAATCATTCACAGGAGAGGCTCTCCACAGTCCAGTGCTGCTTAGTAAGAAATCAAAACCTGGAGTGAGGAAAGACAGCTCTGGGTTTTCTATGTGCTAAAACGTTGAATCTGTGGTACAGGCTGTCACGTTGGACAGACACAGCAGGCAGTTTCCACACTGGCACACATCTAAAATTAGCAAACATCACTTAAGCACATAGTAGGCTGTAGTTGAAAGTTTCTCCAGTCTCACCCAGCCCCTCAGTCTCACAGCCACTTATGAAATAATTACTCAGAGGCTTATATTAGCTACAAACTGTATGGCCAATGGCTTAAGTTTCTTCCTAGCTAGCTCTATCATCTTAAATCAACCCATTTCTATTCATCTATGTTTGGTCTACTAACCCAGTGACTGTGGCCCAGGAGGGGACTGGTTCCCAACCTCCCACAGCTGCAGCTTGTCCTCCCCTGCAGAAGATGGTGCTGGATGGGCTGGTCATTAAGGGGTGGGCTCCAGACCTGGGCGCCAGGCCTGGCCACAGACTCTTCCTGGAGGGCCCGAAGGGCCACTGTCAAAACCCAGAACGTGCAGACTACCTGGCCAGTGGATGCTTAAGACCAGCCCCAAGGCTGTGCTTCTATTACCTCAGTCCTTGGCTTCCCAGAATCATCACTGGGAGACTTTCTTCTTCTAACTTGATGTGTAGGGTTTTTCTTCCCCGAGCTCCTCACAAATCAGTATCACAGAGCCTTCCCTTTGGTGTTGGTGAAATTATTAAGGCCACTCCACATAGTTAAAAGGAGATTTATTTAATGGTGTAGCTTACAAATTAAGGGATAGGTAGGTCGTGGGGTCTGGGGAAGGTGTATCGCAATCCAGCGGTGTTCTCTGGAGCTCTGCTCGGTCCACCGCCACCATTCAGGGTCCCGGAACAGAGAGAGCGCTGGCCCATCCAGATCTCGGGTCTCCAGGCGCCTCCCTTGGCCCTGCCTTGTAGGCGTGACAGTTGAGTCTCAATGGGGGTTGGAACTTCCAGATCAAAGCTGGAATGGCTACCCACTACACTTTGGGCCCCAGAGGAGCAAGATGCAGACCCCAGTGCCCACTTTTATTGGGGTGCACGGTGGGGAAGTGGCTACAGTATTGATTAAAGGTTTCTTTGCTGTAAAAAAAAAAAAAACAACCCATTTCCATTTCTATTAATCTATGTTTTGCCACATGGCTGTGGCATTACTAGTCTGCCAGCATGTTGCTCCTTGAGCAGCAGGCTGGCACCTCTCCAGACTCTGCCTTTCTATTTCCTGTCTCTCTCCTTGCATTTCCCATCTGCCTCTAAGCTGCCTTGCCATAAGCCAAAGCAGCTTATTTATTAACCAATGGGAAAAACATATATTCACAGTGTACAGAAAGACATCCCCCAGTAGCAGGCCACCTTGGATTTTATTTTTAAAAAGAGTTTTGGAGCCTGGCAAGGTGTCATGTGCCTGTGTCTCATACTCAGGAAGAGGCATTCAGAGGCAGGAGGATGCCTAGAAATTCAAGGCCAGTGTGGTCTATGTAACAATTTCTTTTTTATTGTTTTGTTTTGTTTGTTTGTTTTTCCCATACAGAGTCTCACTATGTAGCTCTGACTGTCTTGGAATACACTCTGTAGACCTGGCTGTCCTAGAACTTACAGAGATCCGCCTGCCTCTGCCTCCTGTATGCTGGGATTAAAGGCATGTGCCATTATGCCTGGCTATGTGTAACAATTTCTAACTAAGCCAATCAAGGCTGCATAATGAGACCCTGCCTCAAAAACTTTTTTTAAAAATTAAGTTCAGTTTATGGTCTGTCACGATCACATTATGGGACCGGGCTAAAGGTCAGCTGGTAGAGTGCTTGCCCAATGTGCATAAATCCTGAATTTCTTTCCCAGCACTGCTTCAACCAGGCAAGGTAGTATACTCTTGGAAACTCATCGTTCAGGAAGTAGAGGCAGAAGGATTAAAAATTCAAGGTCATATCTGATACATAATGAGTTTAAAGCCAGTCTGGG